GAGGAATGTTGTCCATGGGGTAGCGATGGGTCGGACACGACTTCATGACTAACAACAACTACAAGGTAATGGGAAGCACTTCTACGTATCATAACATGTACAACATATAATCTAATAATAATTTCAAAACATTTTAAAAAAAACATTCTTCCAAAAATGTCTAAATTTACATATGAATGACAGCCCTTTATTTCATGTCCATTTAAACAAACCATTCTAATCAGTTCATTTCACGTTCATATTGCAAAGGTAGTTTTTGAATGGTCATAAGTAAAATTTGAATGTATACAAACCATAAGGAGTTCTGATCAATCCACTTCTATTTAATACCATCATATGAGAAAGTTATATTATCTACAATTAACAGAGACAGAGCTTTCTGGCAAGCTCTGGAGAGTTCCAAAGGTGTACAAATTGCATTATCCAAGGTCCTATAAAGTGAACATGAGAAGGAGGGAGGGAGGATCAGGATTTTCCTCCTGTACTGTTGACCCTGTATTTTATTTTTATTAGAACCATTTCACTTCCATTTTCAGCAGTGGGAGGGAATCACAGAATCATGCAGTAGACTTGAGTTGAAAGGGGGCAAGAAGGCCAACAAATCCAACCTCCCAGCTCAATGAAGCGCTCCAAGTTAAAGCATCCCTCCCAGATGACTGTCCAGCCACATGCTGAATACCTCCAGTGTGGAAGAGCCCACGGCCTCCCTAGGTGTTGTGCCTAACGCCTCGGGGGAGGCGTTAGCATGCGAAAGAGGGCCAGAAGCCCCCAGTGAGGATCAGGCTTTAGAGCAGAGATTTATACTTGGTGCCCACAGCACAAACACCGCCCCCACCCACCACCCGACTCTCAAGTTTTTGAGGGAGTTCCTGGAAATCGGGAAGGGGAGTCAGTTGTCATGGAACGTGCCCAACTCAGGCAGAGACTTCAACGCTTAGACCAATTAGAACAGAGAAGGAGACAAAGAGGTTTGTCCAATCCCCGTGGAGAGGGACGTGTGAGGAGATGGAGATCCACATGACAAATCTCAGAGAGGTCAGAAAGGAGAGGGCAACTGTGTTGCTTGGAGCTCTCTGCGGTAGCTCCTACACTATCCGTCGTAAACATAAATCCTGTAGTCGTTTGGAATAAAGGTTTTTAGGTTTTTATTGCCTGCGTCTGTGTGAGTAATTGAGGATGTGAGTTACGACCTCACGACACTAGGTCACTGATTTTCCTCACTATTCAGCTGGAATCTGGCTTCCTGGAACTTCAGCCTATGCTTCCATATCCTGCACTCTGGGGTGACTGAAAAGAGATCCTGGCTCTCCTCTAGGTAGGTACTTTCAGAGCACTATCACATCTCCCATCAAATTCCAGTACCCTAATCATCTTTGTCGTGCTCCTCGGAAACTTCTCCAGTTAGTCTGCTTCTGTTTAAAACTGTGGAACAGAAGTGGACACAGTACTCAAGAGGAGGCCGAACCAGTGCTGCATAAAGGGGAATCAGTACCCCATGCAATTTGGAAATGATCCCTTCATTAATGCAGCCCAAAACAGCATTTGAAGCTACATCACCTTGCTGACTCACATTCAGCTAAGAACCTACAAGAATTCAAAGTTCTTTCACACGTGTACTGGTGTTGAGCCAGGCCTCCCCATCTTGTCACAATGCATCTGGTTTCTTCTTCCTAGGTGCAGAACTTGGCATTTGTCCGTTTGAAGAATATAATTTTTTCCTGATGACCAAACAACTGAATAATGGACACAGAGTAATGGACAAGTGAAAAGAAACCAGATTTAGACTAAACCTGGAAAAATGTCCTTACTGTCAAAGCATTACAATACTGGAACCTATTACATGGGGAAGCAGTGGTCTCTCCCTCACTGGAGACTTTCGAAAAGTTTTTGGATAGTCATCTATCTAAATGGGACGGTGTAACACAGCGTCCTGCAATGGCTGGGGGTTGAACCTTCTGGCCCCTTCTATGATACTATGAAAGGCTGTCACAGAGGGGAAGGCCAGGATCTTTTCTCAGTCATCTCCAAGGACAGGACACGGAATAACAGGCTCAAGGACAGGAAGCCAGATTCCAGCTAGATGTCAGGAAAATTTTTGTGTGAGAGCAGTACGACAATGGAGCCTAGAGAGGTTGTGGGCTCTCCCACTCTAGAGGAATCCAAGGGGCAACTGGACAGCCATCAGAGAGGGTTGGTTTAACCTGAGGCACCGCACTAAGCAATGCACTGAACCAATGGCCTTCTTGGTCCCTTCCAGCTCTATTATTCTATGCTCATATGATCCCCGTGGCATTATAATTAAGACAAGCATACAAATCACGGTAGTGATTTACAAGAATGAAACCGCTGAAATTATCCTTCAAAGATTCTAACTTTAAAATTTTTAAAACAGCAAATCCACAGGAAATAAAGGCATGGTGGGAATCATGGAAAGGTTTACGTTCCTCACCTCACTACTGTGACCTGCAGCTTTGTTGTTATTTAAGTACGGGAGTTCCAAGATGCATGATTTGAACATATATGTAGTTTCCTCACCAGAAACGCAATTCTATGATCAAGCCAAGATCCAGTGGAACTGTGAGAGTTCCACTGATTAGCTTTGTGCAATTTCCTAAAATGGAGTAAGAAAAAAACAGGTGGTGCACAGACACAGAGTGGGTTCACAGAATATCTATTAGTGGCACAGATTTTCAAAAGCAACTATTAAAGCTTAAACGCACTAGCAAAAAGCACCTTTTAATGAGGCAACAAAACAACCAGTTCACAGCTGTTATTAAGACAAAGACTGAAGTCTATTCTTAGGAAGGTTTTTATACATATTTTTAATACAAAGGGAGCCTGTAGCTACACTTTATTTTAATCATCTCTGATAGTATGCTTTTCTTCTGCTCATTGACTGTTTTAGAAAGGTATTTTATATGTTTGTGTACAGATTCTCTACTATAAAGCAGCTTGTACACAGACAACATAATAACAACCACCTTATTTTCTGAGAAGCTGGGCAAAATTCTCAAAATATTTTCACAAATATCAATAAATATTTGCCCTCTAGTATACAGTATGCCAGGGTGCTGGAGCAAGTACTGATCTTTCTCTTTTCATTCTAAATATTTTGTTCATTGTCTTTGCTCACAACTTATATAGCCCTTGCCCATTCAAAAGGGTAAAAATATGCAGATTTAAGAGCAAACATAAAATAAAGTACTGGTTGCATAAAAGGAAAAAACGAGGTCCTGGATCTAGTCAGTGCCTCTGTAAGCAGGACAAATTGAACTTTGTGTGTGACTCCTTGAGTTTCCGAGGAAGAAAATTAGGATCTAAATTTAATAATATACTCACTTTAATTTCAAAACTAAGCTGAATGTCTTAAAAATCAGCCTTCTGTGTTTTGTGTTAATATCAGACAGAGATCACTGAGCTACCTGAAGAGATCAAGCACAAGAGCACTCCAGCTACCAAGAAATTTAGGCCACTAAGCAGTATATCTAAAATATTCCAGTCCTGCTACCAGGCTGAAAGTCCAATTTGTGTTGAATAACTCCAAATCAATGCTTGTACAACAGCAGACCACAAATTAAATACATGTTGCACAAGCAAAATAAAACCCACAGATGAGAAAATACTATTTCTGTGTCCTTCCCCAATATGCCTGCATTTCCTTTTGGAGTCAACATGGACATCTTTATTACAAAGGTACGGGTATCATCCTGGGCTGCATGCATTTCCAAGCTGTCCTGCACAAGTTTTCTCTCTCTTTCTCTCATTCACATATTTGCACAGACAGGAATTCAGTACAGTCTAAAAGGCAGAGTTCTGGAACTTTTAAGAATACAAGAAGATGCCAGGTGGCTTTCTTTTACCCCGGAGTGCAATGTACACCCAACACAAATGCAGATCCCCATCAATTTTAAAAGTTGCAGGCCCAACTTAACTGCACATATTCTGGTAGAATAAGAAATTACACTGCAGACATAAAATTTTTATTTCATTCAAGGGTCACATGTTTAAAAAAAAAAGCCAGGAAGTAGCAGCTCAGGCCCAAATTAGTATTTATATATTTTGCTGATAACTATGAAATGAACCAAATGGAAATGTTTTAAGCATGTGCTCAAATCTACAACTCAGATCAAAAGAATGTACACACTGATACACTCTGTCTGGATCAAGCCTCATATAGTTAATGAGCCATCACAAATTGATGATTGTAGCCCACATTTTAAAAATCCCTTGAAAAACCCTTTAATTGTCTTTTGGAGTACACAGAATATCGCATAACAAACTACTGAGAGTCTTATTTGCCTCTTCTACTAAGCTCTTTCAATTGCTTAACAAAATTTGTCAAATGCATGTTTAACACTTTGAGATGAATTTCTATGAAGTCCATTTAAACTGTTATTTACTCCAGGTTTAAAATCATTATTTAATATGCTAGAAAAAACACTGGGCACAGAATATAAAATATACACTTAGAAAAATGCAAAGCGTTATGTTCAAGCTGAATTCATAATTCTAATAAATAAAATGGGGGCTGCTTTTCCTAATTCACATTTTACAATGTTAGTTACTGAGCATTTTAGCATAAAAACACTGTTATGCTAAAATATAAAGCACACAATGATGCCACAACTTTTTGCTGACTTAGATAGAAGGCACTAGAAATTAAAACACTTGGAATATGTTTCATTCACAAGGTAGAATCTCTCCCACAAAACTGTGATTTCAGCTGGTGTTGAACAGGAGCCATAGACAGATAAATAGTGCCCCAAAATTACTCATTAGGGGCATGGCTGAGTTCTCACTCCAAGGGGGGGAAGCTAAATAGGCAGATTTGCAATAAATAATATACCTAAACAACAGGTTTACAATCTCCAAAAGAACAGAACAGGGATGTGTGTTACTCACAATAGAAAAATAAAATGTGTCTTCTGCAAAGAAAAATTAATTTTAAATTTACAGCAATTTTTATAGCATTTTTGTACAAGAGACAATTAAACCTCCTTATAAACATTTATTTTGTACCTGCTAAAAACATAATTGATAAATCATCACTAACTGTCTTAAACAAGATTTATCTTACTACGACAGATAACAACATATTCATCCACATATATAATATGTGACCATTTTGCTATTCATAATAAAGTTACTTTTCAGCTGTGAACTAATAAGTGCATTTTACTGGAAGCTGCTCCTTGCACTTACTAGTGACTCATTCACACAGACACTTTTCATCACTTCTGACCATTTCAGCATTCTTCCAGAACCCTTCCTCAATGCAACATGTTTTCATACCAGTTGCCTTTCAACCAATGAATTTTTACAGTGAATAAGTATTTGTTTAATTCCTATTCTGCAATATTCTAACGGGTGAAATGCAACCTTGCCCATGTGCTAGATTGCATTTGATTGACCATCTATGTCCTCCTTAGATGGAGCAGGAATTAGCCCGTTTTCTAGGAAGTGGGTCTTGGACAATGCTGTCTTGTTTACGTCTACAAGACGAACATATTGTCTCTGACAGTCTCCAAAGTCCCAGCCTGAAAACACTGTTTGACAGACTATATATAACACAGTTACAGAAACTATTGCTTATCGCAAGCCACGTTGTTAAGAAAGAAAGCGTTGGGTTTTCCAGCACCCCTGAGCTCTCTAGCACAAAGTAGATGATGTAGGGGAGCCAGAGTGCATAGAACACACTGGTTATACGAAACAAAACCATGGCATAGCGGCGGTCTGGCGTATGCCCTGTTTCTGCAGCAGGATCCACTTCGTGACTAGGAAAACGAGCTCTCCTGTCATTTATTTCTTTGGTATGCTGCTGGCAGATTTTGAATATGTGAAAGTATGTAAAACAGATGATGAAGGCCGCTGGTGCATACAGCAAGCACACAATGAAGCCAGTGAAATAAACGTTGGTGAGCCAGGAGGTTGCACACCACTCAAAAATGTCTCCGTGATAACCAGGCTTCCCCCAGCCAAAAAAGGAAGGCAAGAAGATTAGGCAGGAATAAAGCCAGATCAAAATGATGCAAATCCTCAATCGGCAAGGTGTGACCAACTGGTTGTAGGAGAGTGGCTTCGTGATAGCGAGATAGCGATCCACACTGATGAAAGCAAGGCAGGCCATAGAAACGCTTTTCAGTACAGAGATGACATATCCAAAAACCTGGCAAGCCAAGGACTCATGGACACCTGTAGAGTAGTGAAGCAATGACAAGGTAGGAACCAAGCAGCTAATACCAACAAAAAGATCAGCATATGCCATTGTCTGAATAAAATAGCTGGTGGTGTAGTGATGTAATAGCGGAGCACAGTGAAAGACAAAAATGACTGTCAAGTTACCAGCGATAATCAAAAATGTGAGTATGACAATAATAATAGTCTCAACAATGCAGATGTCAATGGCACTGTAGTGTCCAAATCCAAAAGGGCAGGACTGATGCTCAGATACATTCGCAATGCTGGTGCTCATATTCAGAGCCTTCCACTCAACCCAGGTGGACTGGTTCATGGTTTGTATTACGTACGAGGTGACTGGAATGCCACTAACTAGGTGACACCTGGTTTTATTTCAGTGTCTCAGTTTCTCAAAGTAGATTGTGTATTTGTTTCTGCAGAGTTAACATCACAATGCAAAGAAGGGAGGGAGGCCACTACTCAGTTTCTCCCTGTACTTATTCCTTTCTTAGCAAAACACAAGGCACTTCTAAACAAAGCCATTCATGCTGTTCATTTAAAAGACAGAAATACAAAGAAGTGAAGAGGAAAAAAAGCCCATGTTGCGATAAAAACCTCTGGAAGTGCATTTTCTGGGTGGGTGGGGTGGACAGGAGGTTCTTAAAAAAGGAATAATGGGGTGGCAATTCTCAATACAATGTTTTCTTTAAAAAAAAACTTGCTAGGAATTAAAGTCCAAGAACAACGTAATTGAGCAGTTCAGTAAGACGCTCATTCTAGTGTGCTGGATCTTTTGGCTTTCTTCAAGTAACAATGACATTTGCTTCATCCTAATCCACTCTGCACTGGTAAGAATATAATTCTAGACATACGAATGCAAACAAGCTTCATTCGTCTTTGGTAAGGTGTAAATCAATTGTTCAGACAGTGACTGATTTGTGGACAGCTGGGTCATCCCTTCAGCGTATAGTATCCTCTCCGTTTAGTTAATAACATCATGTACAGGAAAGCAAAGGCACACAGAGACACGGTGTTGGACAATTCAGTTTGAAATACATGCTGTCCGTTACAATATTAAAATCTCGACAGGTTAATCCAAGGTTCTCAAAGAACACAAAATTGTCTTGCATTCAATTTCAGGGATGATAACATGAAAGCATTGTCTTTAGAAATAAAGCCACCACTGCCAGAGCAGAGGAATGTTACAGTGACGTTCACAGCTTTATCCATGTCATTTCTCACCTCTGTAACGATGTCCACCTTGTTTCATATGCCCCAACGCAAGGGGATCATTAACTCCAATCTAAAATCTTCCAAGAAGCTAATGAAATGTTGATTTAACAGGAAAATCTGTCACTCTATGCTACTATTCCACTAGTCTTCTGGCTTCAGTTCCTCCGTTGCTGTATGTACATTTTCTTTATACAATTAAAGTAACCATCTGCTTCAAAAACTCTTTTATCTTATAAGCCAAATAGTTCCATATTCATTATATTTCCAGTTATGACACATCCGAGGATTAAGAAAGCTCTTTCAATGCTTGTTAAGAAGCAAATATTTGACTACTGTATGGATTTCATTCAGTATATGCAGCAATCTTGCTTTTTAACCCACCCACAATCCACACCCAAACCAAATGCATCTTTAATTATTTAAAGATGCAGGGAGAAATTAATCATCCTAAATCTTTTTGAAAACCCAATAAAACCAGAAGGAGTATCAATTTGAGGTTAACATTTAGCTGGAGGTTCTTTTTCTTTTCTTTTTTCTTTTCTTTCTTGATGTGCTGGAATCTCATGTGTGCTGTTTAATAATCCATGCCGTACCTTCTGAAAAGAAATTCCTTACATGAGAAAGAAAAGATTTTTCTCTGGTCCTGCTGCAGCAATGGGATAGAAAGCATCTTTTCCTAAGTTTTAGGTCTCCTATTCATCGTCATCACGCTGTGCTGAAAATCCTTGTCCTTTCCTGATCTCCACAGAATGTGCCCACTGCTCACTTCTTATCTGAAAGCAGTTCACTCTTTCACAAAATTAATACTGTTTGAATTAAATTCTCTTGCCAAAGCAGTAAGACAGTGTCTCTCATATACATTTGCTTTGTCGGAAGCTGTGGAACATATACAAATCCTATTTGCTGGGGTCAGTTTTGAGGATGCTCTTGCTATTTCTTCCATGTTCTCTAACGGCTTGCACCTATGTCTGTCTCTCCTCTTCATCCTTAGCTGATGCGGAAAAACTCGCCATCAGAAAGGTGACTCGGTCCTTCAGCCCCAATCAAAAGCACAGCCAATGGCTATTGCAGCTGAAATTGTCACTAGGTAACAGTTGCCAGGCACGATGCCGGCTTATAGCCTTCCACAGCAAGCCAGGAATAAGAATGGCAAATGAAGACAAGGAAAGTGACCAACCTACATATATTGAGGATTCTCGAAACAGAGTGGCTGCATTCTTCCAGCGAATGAGGCATGAAAATATTCATGGGAATAACTCTACTTGCTCCACCCTTTATTATACTATAAAGCACCCACTGCTACCTAAGTCAGCAGTAATCCAATCCCTGCTGGCAAGAAACATCTATTAATTATTAAACTCACAAATGAATTAAAAACCTCCATAAAGTCAAATGATAGTTTGACGTTTCAAACATTAATGCATTTTACTGCAATTAGCAAAAACTGAAATTCTTTTCCCAATCCAAATTACTAAGGTGGTACAAGTAATATTATATTACTAAGGTAATACAGCTTTGGCTATGGAGGTATAGAAATACATACATACATACAACGAAGGTTTGCTGAAGAAATCATCCATATACCTTTACTTGCATACACTTGCAAGGGAAAACAATTCCAACTAATGCTCAAATTTCCAATAAATTCATGCTACTACTCAGATTAATATTTATATAAATTAATGTGATATCCTCATCAATCAAATGTATGAAGTGTTATCTATATTCTAAAAGCGAAAATAACAGTCTTAGTTATTAAAGTCCTGCACAATGTCCCAATCCAGTAAGTTGTTTTTTAATTATCTAATTTTATACATACATACTGTTCACATTATTCTTTTTGCATTTTCAGAAAATGCATTAACAGAAAATGCATACGTAATGCAATTACCAAAAAACCAGGTAGACATGTGACATACAGGGAGGTACACTGGGGGAAACTGGCCCAGACCTACATGCAGAGGGTCCAGATAAACATGGATTCAGAGGCACTGCCAACTTTCTTCTTTGATCTCAGATGCCCATTAGCTTGCTCTTTATGGACTGAAGTGTTTTGCCAAGGTATGTTCAGTTAATTCATGACAAATGGACCTTCACATCTGAATGTACTGCATCAATATGCATAAACATTTTATTTACTGGCAGTATTTGTATGCTACACTATAGGCAGGCATGTTCTGAAGCAAGGAACAGTTAAAAAGCAAAACCAATTTTGAAAAATTAAAACATTAAACACAGGATGACAGTAAAATGGGGGCTGCTCAGCAACAAAGGCTTCCTAGAACAACGGCATCTTCGTCAAGCGCCCGAAAAAGCACAAAGTTGGTGCCTGCCCGACCTCCAGAAGCAGGGAGGTCCAGTAGAGGCAGCAGAGTGACACTTCTTGGCCACCTGCTCCACCAAGCAAGAGGCACCGTCCTGTGCTCTAGAGGCGTCTGCCCTGTTCACTTCAAAGACGATACCACTGGCACTCCAACCAACATCCAGGCTGCTGAAATACCAGAGAGCAGAGCAGGCTTGGCAGCACCAGGGAGGGCTCGCAGAGGCCACCGAGTCTGTGCCCCTCACCATTCCACAGTGAAGCTGGAGCAGATGGGCCAAATGGACCGCCCACCCCTGCAGGAGGGAAGTGAGCTCAAATCTCATCAGGAAATTGTTTGACCTTGAATCCACTCTTTAGTTTGCAGATGACTTATCTCATAGCTGAGATGCAACATAAAAATATGTTCCCATATGGTGAAGGACTATTGTACTTTGCAAGTGAATCCAAAGCCATTTTTATTTCAATTTTAGAGACAATCCATAAAATTTTAATGTACTGCTTCTAAGGTCAAATACACTTGCTGCTGCTGTTGTTTTGAAAATTTGTGTATATTTTGTTTTTTTCCCCCCTCAGGTGATTGGGAAAATGCACAATGCAAGGAGGAGGAGGTTCCTATGAAGATTGTGTTTGGGCCTCTCAGAGAGAAATCCACAGAGCCTAAGAGCACATCTCACAAAGCCCCTCCAAGGTCAGATATAGCACTTCAATCTCAAAAGGGGGAGTCAGAAGTCCAACCTGAGGCCTCTCCCCTTCCCAGCTGGCTTCCCTCCCAGAAGTTGGAAAAGCCACCCTGAAGCCTTACCCGAGGAGTGTCTGGGTAAGCTGGGCAATGGCATGAAGAGCCTCTTTCCCTCCCCCCACCCCAAAGCACCTTCCCCCAGACAGGCTAATGCACTCATCCAGCAAAAGCACAGGAGATCAAGACTGCCTCTGCCACTCCTCCCAGCCCCCAGCAGGGCACAGGCAGAAACACCCGAGGTATCTACAGATGCTTAAGGCATGAAAAAAATAAACTGTTGAGCTGCTAGGGTCCAGAATACTTATACACCAAAGATGGTTTACCTGGCAAAAAAGATAAGTGGATAATATAATCATTTAATAATCATTAAGGTTCTGGTTTGAATTCCAATCCTAAGTAAGCCGGGTCAGCAAATGCCTGTGGCAAGTGCCAATTAGGAATCACCCTCTTAATCAGGAAATACGGAAGGCTTTTGGTGAAGTGATCGGTCTGTGTTTGTTTTACCACCCATTTCAGCAAAGTCTGACAATTCTGCTTGTTAGCATTGTGACACTGCTTGTGAAACAATATTGTTAATTGTTCAATAGTGAACAAAATGCCTCTACTGTAGGCTTATTATATAATATTTCAACAGCTTTGTCTTTTCACTTTGGTGGTTTTATCTGGCATACTAATGCATCTTTAGCTTTATTCTTTACCAGCTCACCTGCCACAGGTGTTCAGTAAATATGAAGCCAGATTTTATAGTGGTTTCCGATAAATAATGACAGTACGCTCAGCCTCCACAGGCTGCAAGCACCATCTGGCAGCACATGTTCAATATTCTGCCATACTGGGGGTGGGGGTGGGGGGGCTTGGCAAGCAGAGGTGCCACGGGCGCTCTGATTCCAGACAGCTTAATTGCTCTTGCATGGTGCAGGAGCAACAGAGAAATCTCAGAATTGCCAGCAAGGCAGCTATTCTTTGAGGGCTCCATTCCACGGAAGCCTCTCCATCCCCTGCCACAGAAAGCCTCACCCGAAGTGACCCTTCTGGGTTGAATTCCACATTGCACAGCAAGCAGAAGCCAGACTTTTAAACTGCTGACAACCGGATGGCACTGACATTCTTTAGGAGTGCACAATCCCAGCCAGCAGTACCG